CCCCGTCTTTCTTTTAACCGAGTTGGGTCCTCTCCCGCCTCTTGGGATCTGACCATTCAAGAGTCAAGGAAAGGCGCTTTCCTTTCCCTGGATCCCGGTTAAGGTGATCAGTTAGATTTCACTAACCCCCAGAACTTCGCCCTCCCGGAAGGTCCACATAGGCCCTTCCTTAAGCTCCCGTCCTCCATCCATTTTCCTGCAAGAAACCTGTTTGGAGTCCACGGCGAACTTTTGTGGCAATACAGATGGGAGCATACTCGGTCTTTCATCCTGGAAGCAGGCTGATCTGGTGGGCAGAAGAGTTCGGCTCTCGCACGCACCCCGTAGCGAAGAGAATATTTGTGCTTCGGTTGCAAAGAGCAGTCAATAAATGGAAAAAAGAGCAAGCCTAATTAAAATCAAAATAAAATTGTCTCCTGAATACTACGGCACCAGGCTCAAATTGACAAGTTGAGACATGTTTGCATTGGCCTGTATTTATGAACTCGCACTTTGTCATTCTGAAACTCTTGTGGCAGAAGAGTCCCAACATTTCCTTTTATTGTGTTGCACAAAATCTCTGTCTCTAAGTGTGTGTCTTAATGGCGAGGATTATTTTCCGCCAAAATTTGGAATTTATTTTAAATTTATTTTATGGTGCAGTACCATGTTTATGTATGCTGATTACCACTTACTTTGGGGCAGACCCCCCCCCAAAGAAATACGGTTTGCTTTCTGACTAGATATGGATTTATATTATAGTTAATTCCTGTTTAAGTATATAAACCCAGTTGCATTACCGAGTGTTATTTTCATCCTGTAATATTTTTATTACAAGCCATTAAATAGAATCATGCTGGGGTTTTTGTCCTCCTTGTTTTGTTTTTAACAGGTCTGCAACACGTTTAAATAAACCTTCCAAATACATGTTGAAATTTTCCCCACCATTATTTGTGGAGTTCTTCAAACAGCTTATTTCATGTAGAGTTACAGGATTTGTATTTTTAAAAGTGTTGGATAGTTGATTATTTGTGCATAATCTGTAATATTGCCCTGTGGGGGTTTATGGTGATTTCTGGGGTAATATTTTAAAATTATTCATACATCTCACTGAAATGATCACATTCTAGGAATGTTCCTAATACAAAATGGAAGATTATCTTTTTTAAAAACTAATCTGTGACCAACATGGCAGCGGGCATTCTGGCAATTTTTTTATGCAATCTTTCACAGAATGTCATCTTCCTGTTCTGTTTATTGCTTATTTAACTGTCTAATGAGGACTACTCTTCCTGGAGCTTGGAATACTGTTTTCATTACAATCTCCTTCTGAATTATAAGTAATTCATTTAGGGCTGGCTTCGTCAACTTGATGCCTTTAGAAGTGTTAGAGACTGGAGTTTCCAGAATTCCTAGCTAGTTTGGTTTTGGGGATTCTGGGAGTTGTAGTCCCAACATACCTGGATCGGGTTGTATTGCAGAAAGCTGACACAATATCTCTCAGTAAAGTCGGAGTTTGGAGGTAGGCCTGCTTGAATTTTTCTCAGTGACTTTGGGACCAGTGCAACCCCCAGGTTGGATTGGGGAAGAGATTTTTCTTAATTAACTTTCTTTGTAACCAAATTGGAATAGCAGTTTCCACGTTATTGTGCGTGCCAGAGTTCCTTAATGGACAGATGCAAGTTAAGCCTGTAGAAAAAAATACTGGTTTGATACGACTTCCTCTTCCCTTTCACGTTTTCACTTAAAAAGAAATTGTATCCTTTTAATGCAAAGCAGGATGTCCATATGTCAGAAAGATTTTCATGCTCTCATAAGTATGGAAATGGATCCGACTCAGTGCTTGGTGCTGTGATTTAAGCTCATCCCTGTGATGCTAATTTGCATCTGCCAAAGCTTTTCTTTGTACTGTTGTTAAGATGCGAAAGACATCTATTTTACCTCTGTTCTTCTTCAGCAGTGGAGAAGCCCAGAAATGGATTGATTATTTATTTATTTACCACTTATTTAGCGGTATTCATAGACTGCTCCAAACTGCATGATTCTGGGCAGTGGACCTTGGCAAATCTATATATGGGGATATTTCCATGCCTATAAGGGCAATTCAGATTATTTTAAAGAACAGTCACAGAGGAGCTCTTTCACTGTATTTGCTATTGATTGATGAATCCTTCTGGTAATAGAGGATGATTTTAACTAGTAGCTGCAGTACAACTAGTAAGATTGTAGCGGTTAATTTGCCTGATCCTCAAACATCCCTATTTCTTGTTGTAGAAAGTTCCACCAACATTTTTCTTGGTATCTCCTGAATGCTGTACTATGTTTGCAGGGAAGATGAGGGGACTGTGATTTTTTTTTTTTTAATTATGAACTAATTAGATGTCATGGAAGAAAGAAATGAAAACCTATCTCCACCAAGAGGGCTAACCTAGATTTCTCCTTTAGGATTCAGTTAAGGCTGATAACCAGATAACCAAGGCTAGCTGAATTTTTTTGGCCTCAGATCAAATGCTGCTTATTTATTTCAAAAGCAAAATGTGCATGCTGCTTTTGAGCATGAAAGCCCCAAAAGTAATTTGCACACATAAAGATTCCACAGAAATTAGTTACTAATGGAGAATCCAATATAACGTTGTTTTTTTGCAAGTTATACAATATACAGTACACACATGGACCTAAAGATCCCAGGTTGCTGATTTCCTTCTTTTAAAATCAAAACATAGCCCTCACTTTTTGATTTGTAAAAAAAGATCCACAAATAGGACTTTAAGGGTAGATTAAATAAGGTGGTGCTCAGTAAAATGTTATTGTAAATCACTGAGAGACTTCACTAGTCAACAGTAGTCATAAATAAATGAAAATGAACAGCAATAAAGATAAGACTGTGTAAAAGGGTGTCCTTTGCCAGAAGGCTATTGTTACTTTTTCTAAACCTGGGTGGCAGGGAAGAGACCATGATACTTCCCAGATGGCACATTCCTGGGCCATCACTGAGATGGCCAAGTGTCTGATCAAACAGGTGCTACTGATATTCCACACTTGGGTCATTATTGCAGAGAAGAGCTTGTTTTGTTGAGAACTGCTCCTGTCTGTGCTCCTGCACTCTGAAGATGCCGGTCACAGGTGCTGGCGAAACATTAGGAAACAAAACTTCAAGACCACGGCCACACAGCCCGGAAGACCCACACCAGCTATCTTGTTTTGTTCTGTTTATAATAATGCAGCTAGTTGATTTGGAGTTGGTTCCCACTCTTTGTTGAATTGTTCTTTCCAAAACTGGTCAGGTTTCATAGCATTTTGGGGGCCTGAATGATCCATTGTTGATTGATTATGTGTCATCAAGTCAGTGTCAATTCTTAGTGACCACGTAGATAGATTTTCTCCATAACAGTCTATCCCTAGCCTGGTCTTCCAACAGTGCACCCATTGTTGCTGTAACTGAGTCCATCCACCTTGCTGCTGGTCGTCGTCTTCTTCTCTTTCCTTCCACCTTGCCCAGCATTTGAGCCTTCTCCAGAGAGCTGGATCTTCAGATAACATGTCCAAAGTAGGATAATTTGAACCTGGTCATTTGTGCCTCGAGGGAGAACTCTGGGTTGATTGGTTCAATGATCCATCAGCTTGCTTTCTTGGCTGTCCATGGTATTTTCAGTGGTCTTCTCCAACACCAAAATTCAAACGCTTCAATATTCTTCTTATTCTGCTTCTTCAAAGTCCAACTTTTGCTTTCATAGAGTGTCACATGACTTGCACAATTATCTTTGTAGGTATAGACACATCACAGCATCTGAATAACTTATTCCAAGGCCGCCATGGCTACTCTACCAAGTGCTAGTCCGTGGCATATATCTTGACTGGTTATTTCTTTACTGTTGATGGTCTGTTGTTAGGGATTAGTGAAATGACATCTTAATTTGCTCTCTAGTTGTGGTTGATAGTTAATGAAGTTGTTTGCATTGAAGGGGGCTTTTGGGGGAGGGTGCACTTTATTTTATTATTTATTACTTGTGGAGTTCTTGATGCTCTCTGAGTTTGGTTGTTTGCTTGCAGACGTTTCATTACCCAACCAGGTAACATCATCAGTATTTATTACTTGTATATTGAATTGTTTGCTAGACTTATCTCCTTCCTTTCATTCAGGAGCTCATGGTGGTATATATAGTGCTCCTTCTTCCCTTTTCCTTTTCCCCAGTAGCAACAACTATATAAGCAAGCCAAGGTGGAGTGGAGGAAGACTTTGGGCCAGAATTATCTAGGGATCTTCCGTAGCTAAAGATGGATTAGAACCTCCCCACTCCTAGTTCTAGACCATAACCACTCTGCTATGATGGCTGTCTTTTATTCCGCAGCCACAATTTAGGTCTTTCCAAAGTTGCTGTGCGTATCTAGTTCTGGCACAAACTGAAAACTCTAATTCAAGATATTTATAGGAATAAATATCTTAAATTAGAGTTTTCAGTTTGTGCCAGAACTAGATACGCACAGCAACCTTGGAAAGACCTAAACTGTGGCTGCAGTCAACAACCTTATGCTCAAGTTTGAGGTGCATGGAATTGTGCT